GCGCTGGCTAGGATGAAATGGTGCTGCCCAGGGTGGTTCTGTGCACCAGGTTTTGGAATATGGAATTTCTATTAAGTGGGCGGACTATGGTTTTGCCGGGCATTGAGCGATGCTCTGGCCCTCGGGTAGGAGGTGTTTGACAATGGAAATTCTATTAAGTGGGCGGACTATGGTTTTGCCGGGCATGAGCGATGCTCTGGCGGACTTGACTGCAGCGGCTTCGCGATGCGCTGGCTCTCGGGTAGGGGGTGAGATGGTGCTGCCCAGGGTGGTTCTGTGCGCCAGGCTTTTGACCATGGAATTTCTATTTGATGTGGACTGCGTATGTTGCATGTCACAGCTTGCGCTTGCTGCTTGCATGGCATAGGCTTCTACACTTTTCGACGCCTCTTCCTTGGCACGCCATGCTGGTGCTTGTCGCGGCACTCTGCACAGATCCAATGAGCTAAAACGTCAACATGGTAGCGAGTTTCTTTTGGCCGTGGCCGACCGCACTGGTCGCACGGGGGATAGTTTCGCAGTGATTGGCACTCTGCGCAATTCCACGCTGCCACAACTGCGACGTGGTAGCGACTTTCGCGTGGTCGTGGCCGACCACAAGTGTCACACGGCGGATAGCGGCATTGCACGCACAAGGTATCTGCTATGGCCTGGGACTCGAGCGACTGACCACACTGGCTGCATGACTTCACTTTGCACTCTGCACAACTCCAAGTCGGTAAAACTTTGACGTGGTAGCGACTTTCGCGTGGCCGTGGCCGACCACAAGTGTCACACGGCGGATAGCTGCAGTGCGTGCACAAGGTATCTGCTATGGCCTGGGACTCGAGCGACTGACCACATTGGCTGCATGACTTCACTTTGCACTCTGCGCAACTCCAAGTCGGTAAAACTTTGACGTGGTAGCGACTTTCGCGTGGCCGTGACCGACCACAAGTGTCACACGGCGGATAGCTGCATTGCATACACAAGGTGTCTGCCAGGGCGTGGGACTCTAGCGGCTGACCGCACTGGCTGCAAGGCTTCACTTGGCACTCTGCGCAGCTCCAAGTAGGTAAAACCTTGACATGGTAGCCACTTTTTTGAGGCCGTGGATGACCACAGGATTCACACGGCGGATAGCTGCATTGCCTACACAAGGTGTCTGCCATGGCCTGGGACTCTAGTGAGTCGCCACACTGGATGCATGACTTGACTTTGCACTCTGCGCAAGTCCAAGTTGGTAAAACTTTGACGTGATAGCTTCTGTCATCTGGTCGTGGCCGACCACACACTTGACAAGGGGGATAGGCACATGCGGCACACCATGTGCCAGCTGTTGCAGTGGAAGGCAAGGGTTTGGCACAGTTACGACAGAGTTTAGGCTTAGCGACACACGCTTTGCATGTTCCTGTGTTGTTGTCGGCGGAGTAGTTGGAAAGGTTGGGAACGGCAACCACTTTCTCACACTGAACACAGCGGCCTTTCTTGCCCTGGCATTCCGGACAATGCCAAATTGGATTTTTCTTGGCGTGGAGCCGCCTCTTTCCTGCTTGAGGGCGTGGCTTACCACATCCGCCCGTGCAAGGAGGGTATGCACAGGGTTTGCACCACGTGCCTGGAGTTTGACTTGCCTTCAATGGCTGGCCACAGTTGGCGCAGGTTTTTGATGCCCGCGCTTGGTTGGCGACACAAGTGCGACACAGGCCCGTTTGCGACGCAGCAGTATAGTGCGTGAGATGCGACACACTCACGGTCTTATTGCACTCTCTGCACAAACCTTGTTTGGAGGTGGCTGCGACAGGGGTGGTAGCACACTTTTTGCAGCGAACGCGTCGCAGTTCTTTAGTTTTCTTTTTGCGTCTGACTTCTTCCGGGTCGAAGTCTGTCAAGCGTTTCGTTTTGATTTTCTTGCCTTGGTCACATCGGCTGCAGGCTAAACGTTCTGTTTTGACACACTCCGAACAATAGCCAGTTTTGTTGGCCGGTCTGGCTTCAGGGCAATATGGACAAGGATGCATTGCTTCAGGGAGACTGGGTGGTTGTGTTCCGCTCTGCTTAGCTTTGCATTGGAGACATAGGCGACACATGCCTTCGGATAAGACTTGGTACCATTCGTCCTGGTCCCATGCTGTGACAAATTCTCGCAGAGGCAGTAACTTCTCTTGTCGATGTGGCTGTGGGCTGCAGCCGCGGCAAAACAACATGATGTCACGGTTTCTTTTTTTGCTTGGTTTGTCTTGACTAAATCGAGCTTTTGCTTCTTGTGGCGTGAGCTTGCCGCGATGAACTTCTAGAAAAGTGTGTGGGCCTATCAATTCCCCATTGGTGAACAAGTTGGGGGAAAAGGGTTGGGCTATACACAAGTCTTCGGCTTTTCGAACTCGGGACAAGCACATGTAGCCGCTCAGTTGAGCCTCGCGGGACGCGGTGGAATCCCAGTGGCCGAGATTAAGCGTGCAGGCTTCTAGGGTGGAGCCCATGAAGGAATGCGCCGTCCCTGCGAAATCGCAGGCTAGGGGGAAACCCCGTCGAGACACTGTGGCTTTACCGTTGGTCTCCAGGGACCATGTTTGTGTCACGGCCTCTAAGCGAGCAACTCCTGGGGGCAGTTGTGCATGTTGTTGCCACGTTTGCCCGGGGACGTGGACGTACAGAGCTAGAGGCATTTTTTGAAGGACGATGTTATCTGCATCGCTCTGCGACGCTGCATCAGCGTCCGCCTCATGTAGCGTCCAATTCCAAAGTGTGCCTCGAGTATTTTTGAAGAGTCCAAATGCCTTGAGTTCTGGCAAGGTTTGCGTGATTCGGACGGGCATGTTTTGCAGCAAGGGCAACAAACCGACGACGCCACCTGTGGACTGGTCGTGGCGTTGCAACCAATTCTCCCGCCGGGCTGGTAGTTCGGGAGGTTCGATGTGAAAGAGTGGTGTATCTTGGGCTACTATCCAGAGTAGTTTTTCTCTCCGGGTGGCTGCCACTTGGCGAGCGCGAAGGTTGGCGGCTATGTATTTCGCTGCGTTGAGTCCATGCACAAAGGGATTGTTGAGAAACTTTGGGCTTTTCTGATCTTTGCCTACAAGACACCGACGTTGGCGTTCGGCTCGACACTGCTTGCATTCAAGCGGTTGCTTGTGAAGGGCTGCAGCTTGCAAGTGCAGGTCGGCGCAAGTTGTCTGCCCGCACTCGACCGTGTGGGTTTTGAAGTTCCAGGTGCCTGCGTGCAACGTCGGAAATCCATGGAGAAAAGACCAAATTTCTTGAGTCATGCTTCCGCGGCGCGCATGTTGCAGGACGACACTGAGCCATGGGTCTTCACAGCGTTGTTCTGTGGTCAGCTCGAATAGGTGTTGCATAGCCTTTGCGCCGCGTGTCCAAAACAGTTTCTGCAGGGCTGCAACTTGAAACCTTCCATTTTCCCCGAAAGGGTTTTGGAAAATGGCGGTGGCTTTCACCGGGGGGAACTGCCAAAGGTCACCGGTCAGGATCAAGTTCAGACCTGCGAACGGCCGTTTTTCTCCGCCGGGCCGAAGCTTCCAAGTATCTTTGTCTCGGATCGATTGTTGAAGTTTTTTTTCGACCGTGGCAAGAATTTCGAGACCGACGGTCGAAGTCTCGTCAACTAAGATCCAACGTAAACGTTGATACTTGACGAATTGGTCTGTGGTGTGGGCGCTGCCCGGGGAGGCCTTCTTGGCTCGAACACGGATGTTCGCGAAGGCGTGGAGGGTGACACCGCCAATGAGCGCGGCCTGAGTGTTCTGCGGAGCTAGGAAGACGAATTGGTGCTGATGCTCCCAGTGGCAAATGTCCTCGAAAAAGCTGCGTAGCCACTTGAGAGTTTGGCTTTTGCCGGCCCCCGGCACGCCATGGAAAATGGCTCGCAAGGGCTCGGTGTCGGCCGTGCCCGCGTGCTCTTCGGTGGCCTCTCGCAGACAGCGTTGGATGACAGCGCGTAAAAACTTCAGTTGTTCGCCGGTGGGTCGGCAGTGGCCGTCGGAACTTTGCAAGTTGGTGAGCCAGGCTTCCGCGGCTTCGGACGTCAAGTTGCCATATGTCCACGTCAAAAACTGCTCTGGAGGTGACTGGGTATGGGCGTGAGCGATGCTCTGGCTGTGATCTGGCTTGATGTTGGGCACGCCTGTGTTGACGGGTTTCAGGGATGCGGTGTAGTCTTCCGAGTCAATTTTCCATTCCTCGATAATTTCATGGGCTGCGGCACTGGAACGTTTCGAGTACTCAAAACCGACTCCGGTGATTAGCCGATGAATGGTTTCGTTGCTGACCCAAGATGTATCCACTTCCACCTTGTCTCGGTTGGACGGAGGCTCTATTGCGTCGGCCTCCTCGGGATCACATTCGGTGGCTGCAATGAAATTGCGAATTGTTCTGGCCGCATGCTCCGAAACAATGTGGTTGGCGACGTACTCTGTCCAGGCCACGTGGTGACTTCTTTGGCCGGCAGCACTCTTTGTGTGGATGCGGGTCAGACGACGAGCGCTCCTAACCGCAAAGGGTAAGTCTAGTGCCGCTATGTGGGGCACGTGAAGAGTAGAATTAGGGAGGTCTAAGGTCCACGGCCGAAGGTAAACATTAAGCAACCTAGCTTGGGCTTCTCGTGCCATATCGGGCTTCGGTAGTGGACAGACTGTGGGGTATGGGACGCAAGGTTCGCGGCGTCGTTCGAGATAGTGGTCTTGTGCAGCTTGACACTGAGGTATTTCCGGCAGGCGAAGAACGGTGTCACGCCGGGCAGCAGGCAACGAATCCTTCCAGACAAAATCTCGTCCGAATTTCCAACCGTCGGCTGGTTTCTTGGTTTGGCCTGCCCCATTGACCCAAACACTTAAACCTGTGTCGGACTCAGCGTTTTCTCCATGGGGTGGTTGCAATTTTTTCACTGTCCACCATTTCACAAACTCCCACGGAGATAAAAACCACACTCTTGGATCTGTACCTCTCCAACCATATACTTCTGAAAACTTGATGGTCGAACTGTGTGGGTTGGAAGGCTTTACTCTTTGACGGGTTTCTGTGAAATTATCGAGGATGCTTAGCCATTCTGTGCCTACAAAGGGGACTACGGGAAAACTACGAATGCACTCTGCAGAGGTTGGTTCGGTGGAGGTGGCGAAACCGGCCAACGTGAATTCTTCGGTCATGGGCCGGGTGGAGCAACGAAATTCAAGGTCCCCAAGCACTCGATGTGCGACTTTCCGCTGCTGCGCAGCTGGGTCGTCTGCGGCAGCGGTTTCTAAGAAATGCAACTGTTTGGCTGCATTCTGTAACTCTTTCCGACCCAATGGTTGGGGCTTTTGCAAGTAGCCTGTGAAGTATCGTGTGGAACGGCGAGCTGCTTGTGCCATGGCGCGTTGTAGCTTCGGGAGTAAATTGTGTGCGAGACATCCGCGGGCACACTCTGCGTCATGGGAGGCAGCACTCAAAGGAACCCGAAAGTTCACCGCAGTGTGCGAGTTGCCGAACAACATGAGCGTAAAGGCATACATTGTGCCGGATAACCAAGGATCTTCTCGCTTATCCAAAATTGTACCTAAAGCATTTCTCCGGCCAGCAGTACTCAATCCAAATTTCCGAGCATTGCCTCGGCATATGACTCGACCGCGGTCGTTCTGCACCTTTGGGAAGCTATGCTTACACTTATTGGGAGCATTTTTCTTGCGGCAAGCACTGATCGGTAACCGACACTTTTGCACAACGCTATAAGGATGCCAGTGTATCTGCTGATGGCTGACTTTGCTTTGTGCGACACGGCGGTAGGTCTCGATGAATGTCTGGGCTTCTTGCACTGCTCGGGTAGCCACCATGTCATCCAACCAAGGGCTCTTTGCGTCATCTGTTTGGATGAAGTTTGGCCAATGGCAAAGAAAATCGTGCTTTTCGTGGCTGTTCTTCTCGTTCCAGGCGGCTTCTAGTTCTTCTTGCTGTGCATTGTGGAAATTGTAGTCAGGATGAGTTTCTGGATGTATCCATGTGAGAAAGTGTTTCACGTCGTCGAACTCGATAGTTCGGTTGTTCTATTTCTCCGCGAGTTCGTGGAGCGGTTGCTGCCAAATGGATGCACTGTAGACGTTGCAGTGAAAGTGCGGAGTCGAATTTGTTTGATATTCGATGGCGCCACAGAGGCCGCGCACGAGGCCGAACAACCCCCCGGTGACATGGCAGCCGTTCCCGCTGGCATCCCGGCAGTCACAGGCGGGACAACGAAAGCACATGCGAATGCCGAGCAGCTTTGCGAAAATGCAACGAACAATGGTTTGGAAGCTGAGAACTACGGCCCACGGGTCTCTGGCTGTCATTTGCCGTCGGGTATCATAGGGGGGGACGAACATGGTTGCATTGGCGGATTCCCATATTTCTGGGCAGGTCCGCTTTCCGAAGACCGTGCTGCCTGGGCCGGCTTGTCGGTATCGAGAGAATTTGATGTACAGCGCATTGTGGCGGGAGGTGGGTGAAATTGTGATGAAAAGAGGTTCTCCCAGCTCTACTCTAGCTCCAAAGAGAAATCGACCGATGCGACGGCGAGATTCTATGGTTCCGGGCATATTTCTTTGCACGCTGCGAACGTCTTGCAAGAGGTGGTGCTCTTCTGACGTCAAGCCTTTGGCGTAGGGCAACTTTCTAGTATCAAAGTGTATGGGTTTGTATTGACCACTAGCGGTTAAGTATGTGCCACTGCGCAACTTATTATAGAGCCCTTTTGCCGCTTCCACCCACGAAGCGGTAGGGGTTGCTTGAACGCAGTCTCTCTGGCTTGGTCTTTTTCGCCAGAGAATTCCATTGCAGACTGACTGCCATTTGAACGTCAGCCGTCGCAAACCGGGTACGAAGTCCCAGGAATTACGAATAGAGCTCTCAACACGGCCGGCCAACAACTTCAAGTGCGCCAGAGGATTTAAGTTTGGCGCATGCACTGGGCGTCGAGGTCTTGTTTTGTGGGGAAAATCAGGGCCACTGACAGGCGCTGGAAGGCTGAAGGGGAATGCCCATGGTAGAAAATCGTTTTGCCATTGATCCCAAAAAGTATGCCCGGTTTCGACCGTGACTTGATCGGCAGCGTGTGCAAGTTCTTGTAACCTTTCTAGATCTGGGTCCCTCCAGTCGGAAGTTGCGTAGTCTTGGGATAGGACGTTTGGTCGATGCACTCCCGTGAAAGCTTGGCCATCCAGTGCTGCGGACGCCGCCGTTTCTGGCGTCGCATGCTTCTGCGGCGGCGCAGCTCGGCTGGTCTGCGAGTGCATGCTTGCGGACAAGGTTTTTGCAGTGCCTACCGCTGCAACGGACACGACCGGTTGGACGTATTTTTTGTCGGTTGTCGTTCGAGTTTGACAGTTCGTTTTTTCTGACCCCTCGACCTCGACGACGGCAATGCACGGGTTGTCGTCGGCTGCGACGACAATCGGTGCGCCCCGAGCGATGCTCTGGGCGTTGTCGGAGGCCACAACTGAGAGCTCGGTTGGTGTGGTGGAGACTGTGGTGTGTGCAAGTGCGTGCTGGCTCTGACTCGGATCACGAGAAAGCTCGCTAGGCAGTAGCCGCGCACCCACGACGAGGCTATGGTCGTCGGTCGTGACGATGCTATGGTCGCCACTTGCAGTGTCTACGGCTACCTTTGACAGCTTTGCGTCGGGACGTGCCTCTGCAACGGGCTTTGAGGCTTGGCCACTGTGCCGTGCACTGGCTGGTGGGCTTTGCTTTGGCGCTGCCGGACGCGAGCGCGAAGACTTGGTGGGTCGCGCTTTCTGGCTGTCTTGGGCCGACGAGAGTGGCGCGGCCACAGGCATGTCTTCGGGAATGCCTTCCCCGAGCGGCATTGTCTCTTCCGTGCCATATATATTTGTGACACGTTGTTTCACTTCTTCTTTTGCTTTCTCCGGGGAGATGTGATTGTCACACATTGGATGCTGCAAGTCGATCAAATGTTGCAACAATGCAACGACCACCCATGGTCGGATCCGTGCGCCGGCCACCCACTCTATCGCCTCATTGCGAAGCATGCCTTTCACAGTAATCTTAACCAGGGCTTGCATGACTTTGCGCGCGTGCGGCAAGTTTGTCCACGGCATGCTAGTGTTTGCTTGTGGAGCGAACGCTTGCAAGACTTCTTCCCAAGGTAAGCTAAATGAAGAAACATTACCTCGAACGGCAGAACGATGCTCCGCGCGGTGGAGGGTTTCTTCCACCAGGTGCCCTCTGTCTGCTTCCACGTAATAAGTGACGACGGACGTCCACACTGGGCTAGCGGCGGCTGCTTCTATCCACCGCACTTTGTGTTTGTATAACAACTCTGTGGGGTAGCCGTACCAGTTGTCATTGGCTAGAGCTTGTGGAACTGCAAGAACATGTTTGTCGAACATCTGCACCAGGCATTGGTGGCAGATAGGAAGCTCACATGTTTCGCAAAGCTGCCCATTGCCTACATCACAAGCTGTGCAGCGCAAGTCTTCTGGGCAACACACAATCTTTTGGCCATTGTATAGAGAAGCAGGCAAAAGGCGTGACCACTCATGTGCGTCAAAGCGGTCACGGACGCAAGCACTGGTGGCGTACTGCTTCATGTATGTATCCAAATTCCAGTTGCAGGTGAAGCTTTCTGGAGAAAGGGAGCCGAACAACTCCGCTGCGGACAAATAGCCCTGAGGATCCGATATTGAAAAAAATCAATATTGGAAAAATTTTCAATAATATTGAACTTGATTTTTTTCAATCGTAGGATTGATCTTTTTCAATATTGGGGATTGAAAAAAAATCAATATTTTTGATCAATATCGACCAATATCATGATCAATATCCAGACCAATATTACAACCAGTATCAAGGCCAATATCAATGTCAAAATCAGGCAGTTCATGATGCCCTATAGCCATGATCTATCAACATCAGGCAGTTCATTTTCAAACAAAGCCACATGCACTGGCAGCATTTGGCTTACAGGTGCGTCCATGTGTTTAAGGGCAGAGGGCTTGAAAGAAAGCCATGTCCAAGGGTGGTGCCAGGAGATTTTCTGTGCCACCAGTGGATATGGATGCCCTGCAAGGCATCATTGACAGGGCTGTGGAGTCCAAGGGCGCTGCAGCTTTTCTATTAGGTGAATACGACACCAAAAAGGTGACCACTGCTGTGAGTGCAGCAGGCCTACATCAAAATGCCGCATGGGTGAAAGATTTTTTCAATATCTCAAAAGGCGAGATCTTGGCAGGGCAACTGAAGCAGTGCATTCAAAAATATGGTCACTCCCACAACACCAGTGACTGGAAAGACGACCTCTGGGCTGGGAAAATTGCAAGCCAGATGGTTTGTATTCTGAGCCATGTGAGGAGGCTGGGGAGGGAACCTGATAAGCTGAGGCAATGCCTGCAAGGTGCCACAGGGGCCCAAAGGCACACCATTGAGGAACTTGTGGCCTTGTGTGCTTGCAAGAAAGCAAATGAGCCCCCCC